ATATATATACTGTATATAGTGTGTTGTAAGAAGGTCCACATGATCAGATAAAGAAGTACTTCCTTGTGGTTTACTTTTTTAGAAAATCAATCAATCGATTAATTTTTATGACATGTTGTGCATGACTGAACTTGTTTGAACTGTTCTGGATATGGTTCCTGTATTTCACTTCTCAACAAGCTTAAGTGAAATCCCTCTAGAGTGCATAATGAAAGCTGTGGACATTAGAGGCCTTTTACAGACCTCAAGGGAACCCCTGATGCTTTCCTCAAGTTCTGCACAACATACCGGATTGACATACTGGCTGTCTATCTGGTTATATTACACATGCTAGTGAAGCAGTCAGCCCTGAAGTCTTGCTCCAGTTGACAGCTTGAATTTGTTGAGGGGTCTGCTGTTACCATGTGCACTCTTACGAACAGTGTTTAATGGGAAGTGAGATGTAAAGCTTTAAAGGGGTCATATGATGCGATTTAAATTTTTCCTTTCTCTTTGGAGTGTTACAAGCTCTTGGTGCATAAAGAAGATCTGTAAAGTTGCAAAGATTAAAGTCTCAAATCCAAAGAGATATTCTTTATAAAAGTTAAGACTTGTCCACGCCTACCTAAAATGTCTCGTTTAAACACACCCCCACATGTCTACGTCACTGAGTGGGAAGATTTGCATAATGCCGCCCAAATGTTCACGCAAAGAAAGAAGGCGTAACTTTGATTCTCGCTGTAGTGTTGTTGCCGCCATGTTGTGAAGGCGCTGTGTTTCATTGTGAAAGCGAAACTACTTTGTTTGGCCTTCCAAAAGAGGACGATATCCGCTTTGTCATGCCTAGAGCTGATCCGTGCTGGTTGCTGAGGAAAAACATCAACTTCGCGCTGTGGATCGCCAGATCGGCTTTCACCGTGGACGAAGTGAAGTCCAGCCTGGGGTCGTCACATGTGGTTGCCGCAAGCCTCCTTCGTCGAATCCACCGGGTGCCGCTCACTCAAGCCACTGTGTGTTTCATTGTGAAACCGAAACTACTCTGTTTGGCCTTCCAAAAGAGGACATAATGTTTCTATAAAGTGGGGCAGTTCCAACTTTGCAAGGACAGTCGGGCGCTTCTGACTCACAGCCTGTAAGTACGTTTTTTATATTTAAAGAATTTGCCACTGATGATTCAAACGTGAGTTTTGAGCAGTGTAGAGTAGCACTTGTTGTTTGTCATTTCTCCGATCACAAATGCAGACATGGTTTTATGTTTACACGGCACAATACCCAACGCAAAGCGTAAAAACACAGTATAAGTCATTACGATCAGTAATTATGTCCCCACTGGTTGCAACAAATGCCTCGTTTGTAATGGGTTTTATTGGTTTTGTCTCGTCGCGCTGGACACATGGAAACCATACACTGTAAGATGGAAACACAATATAGTAAGGGGCGTAACATTTCTGTCACACGCTTGAGGTATTCGGCCAATCACAATGCACTGGATAGCTGGCCAATCAGAGCACACCTCGCTTTTCAGACCGATGAGCTTTGTAAAAATGTATGCATTTCAGAAAGGCGGGGCATAGAGGAGAAACAATAATGTACAGTATGTGGAAAATAATGTTTTTTGAACCTTAAACCACATAAACACATTGCATTACACCAAATACACAAAATAATGTTCTTTTTAGCAACATCCTATGACCCCTTTAAGATCCTCAAGCAATCAGGCAGTATGCTTATTTTTCTTTTTTGATGATGAATATACTTTTTCTGTATGATAAATTACAGGCAAGTATAGCAGGGGTTCTTCCTTTTGGGAATTTTTAAAGGGGAGCAGTCAAGTGTATCAAAACGTGTCATAGGAAAACATTAACATTGATGGGATTTTCATGATTGTTCATGGCGTTCTCAGAGAGTTTGAGCCATTATGGTGGTCTCAAGTTCACATTAATACTAAGCGTCATAAATTATGAATTCACTGTAAACAGAAATGGTCAGGGTTTCTCGCTTTGGCACAGACTCTGCGGACCACTAAATCAGTCGAAAGCACAATAAAAAATTCATGCGAACTTGAAGTGTTTGAACCGCTGTGCCAACAAAATCTTTGAAAAATGAACCATTTTATAGCATATTTCTTATCATGGACTCTTAAGATGTGATTTTAATGTTGTAAATGTGAGAAGATCTGACAGGTTTTTATTAAACCGAGATTCATTATCAAGATATTTGTTATTGCATAACCAACAGTGTTCAATAAAAATGCATGTGATATTCAAGGTTTGAGTCAGACTCATATGAATATAATTTTTTTTTTATGAATAATTAACTACTGAGTGCGAAATATACTTGTATGTCTTTTCATGTTGCAGTATGGATTTTTTCCACACACAAAAATGTATAAAAAGTAAAATGTCAATTTTCTAATGGATTTTCTGTTAAAACTTATGCTATATAATCTAATTTTACAGCTATTATCATTTAATATCTTGAGTAAAATTGCTTCGGACTGGGTGGATATGAGAAATGACACAAAGATATGAACCCATTAATTGTGCTAATTGTAAATAATCTTCCGTTGATGAAGATCTCTTGCATGTTTGGTGATAACACATCGTCCATGATAATCAGTTGTGCTCTATCACCCTGTTTTTCTGGTGCCAGAATCAGGATATTGTGGAAGAAAGCCAATGTTTGGAATATTTACAACAAATGTCAGCCATCAGTCATCGTTGACATTTGATGAAAAGCAAAAAAAATGAAATCAGTGTGAGCTTGTCATTGTGTTACAAAGGGTTCATATAGTGTGAATGATCCTCCGAAGCAACAAGTCATTTAGCCAGAAGTAACAAATGGCCACTGTAGGCCATTATGTTGGATCTAAAGCTTGTGTGCGGTGTGTTTTAACAGATACAGGGGTATGAGGGTTATAAAGGATGGGCCTTTGTTGCCGCCTGTTATGTGGTCAAAAATAGCATTGGGGTCTGTTCCTCGTCAGCTTTTTCAAGAGCCTTTTATAGCAGTGTTGCTATCATGAAAGCAAGTCCTTCTCAGCTTCTACACCTCAACACATTGATTTTTCCATTTGGACAGCTCCCGGAAAACATAGCCATTACTGGTCAGAGAAATTGTGCAGTGTTTTGCTCCTTAAAGGAGATGGTCTTAAGTGCTGGTGTAGGACTATGTTTCCTCACTACAGTTCTACTTTGGCAAACATCCACAAGGAAAAAATGTTTCAAGATGGAGTAGAATTGGATTTGTTTTGCACAAAAGTAATCCTGCATTGCTCCGTTCTATTGTAGGTTATTCATCATAATGAGGGAGTCAATTGGAAATAAGAGTGTCCATTACAAAGAAAAGAAAAAGGAGAAAAGTTCAGTGTCTATTCATCATCAGTTTTTTTTAAGCATTTTTTTTTTTTAATGACACTTTTATTCTTCATTATGAGTTCAGGATAGTATCACACTTTTCATTTTATGGCCCCCAAAAATATGAAAATGAATATTTATTCAGAAATTAAAAACATGCTCATCATAGAAGAAGCCTACTGTATGCACCAATTGCATTTTAATGAATTTTTGAATAAATTATTAGATATGGACAAAAGAACATCATGTAGTTTACTCTGATGTAGTATTCACAGGTTTATATTCACATTATGTTGCTCCTATTTGCTGTCTGAATGAACGTGTCTGAGCTAATGAGGAAAGTGGGTTTAGCTAAATTGACTGAAATTCTTCACAACGTTCTTTAACGTTAAATTTTCCACGGTCTGATATCCTTGCAAAGAAAAAGCACTCTAGCTAATCTGGCTTGCCGGTTATTTCCATTAAAAAGGTTTACTCGCACAACAGGTTTTGTTACATTGAAATACCAGTCTGTGATTCAACAGTGTTTATTTAAAAGGATAGTTCACCCAAAAATGAAAACGATTTACCCCATGATTTACCCACCCTCTAGGTATCCTCGGTGTATATGACTTTCTTCTTTGTATATGACTTTCTTCTCAAATACAATTTGAGTTATATAAAAAAAAATGTCCTGGCTCGTCCAAGCTTTATAATGGCAGTGAATGGGGGTCGAGATTTTGAAGCCCAAAAAAGTGCGTTCATCTATCATAAAAAGGGCTCTACATAAAGGCTTTCTGAAGTGAAGCGATGTGTTTGTGTAAGAAAAAATATCCATATTTTCAACTTTTTAAAACATAATCTCTAGTTTCTGTTGTACACTTATTCACGAGAGAGTAGCATTCCAGCAGATGACGTAGGACGTAATTGAATGTGGAAGCGCAGAAGAGAGAGCAAAACAAGTACAAGTACAACACGAAGATTTGTAAAGAAAAATGTCAGAGGATTTCAATATAAGCCAAGAGGAGAATGGTTTTCCTTTGCTATAAACAATAGTTGGTTCTCACAAGACTCACTGGAGATAACACTACTCCTACGTCATTCGTTGAAACGCCACTCATTCATGAATGCGTGTACGACAGTTATGGGAAGTTAGAGATTACAGTTTATATACTTGTAAATATGGATATTTTTCTTATATAAAGGAGCTGTGTGGAGTACTTTTTATGATGAATGAATGCACTTTTTTTGGGCTTCAAAACCCCCATTCATTGCCATTTTAAAGCTTGGAAGATCCAGGACATTTTTTTTATATCACTCTGATTGTATTCATCTGAAAGAAGAAATATCCTTTTAATGAGTACAAAGGAGAGTTTAAGCGCTGTGTTGTACATGTCCCAACAATGACCCCGAATTCCTCACCTGTTTCCACATGAAAGGCGCCAATATCTCAAAATCACTGACAGTGAAGCATGTGGGCTCAGGAATTACCATACCTAAAAAAAACACTGATAAAACTGATTTAGACCTTAAAATATTGACAACACTTGAATAATTTGACTGAATTCATTTTATGTTTACATATTACATAGCAAAATTACACCCTACTGATTCAGAGAGAATTTTTCTTCTTCAATCTCATTGCTGTGCAATAGGCTTTTGGCGCTCTTGGGACATTCATCATACTCTGGTACTCGCTATATTTCTGGAAACACGTCTCTGGGTCGGGGCTTTCGGCGACCCACTCCATCATGGTGGACATCAGAGTTCTTTTCCCAGGTTCACTTTTCACACGTTTAGAGCAGCACAGGTTTTCAATACTGATCAGTCACAGCCTCTTTCCTGTTCATTCATCACTCGACCCCAGCTATTTTTTTCCTGGTTTCTCTCTCTCTCTGGTAAATCAGTGGGACAAAATGTTGTGGATGAAGTGTGCTAATCTTTCTCTGTGATTGCGTGTGGCGCGGTGGAATGAAAGCTGCTTCTGTTAGTTATATTCTCTAACCCTTGGCCATGACTTTGATTCCTATTAATTGAGGGAGATAAGATGAGGATTTAATGGATTGCAATGCACTGGAATTGCAAGTTTGCTGTGTGAATTGTATTCTGTCTAGCAAGAATGTAGTTTTTAACAGATGGTTTTAGGGTCTAAAGCAATGAGGTCCTGGAAATCTCCTGATGCTTGGGACAGTTTGCACATTTTGAGTGTTGCATTGTCACATTTAAATATAGTGATTTATTTATAGACCATATGATGCCTAAAATCATGTTTACAAAATATTTTCATAGATAAATGACTGCACCAAAATTATCATGTTATTGCAGTTTATAAACAAGTTTGCTAGTCCTTAGCACTTCTTATTTTTGGTACTGTATTTATATTAGGCAGAAGTGATGTGAAACCTCAAGAGCTTGCAAGTTAAATTATTCCATTCCTGTTCTAGAGTTAAGTTCCACCTTGTATCTTCAAAACAGTTATGGTTTCCACTGTCAAAATCTGTTTTTAGTATTTCTGGGTGGAGGTGGAACCAAACTTTCCAAGGACAAGTATAGGCCTGGAAATGAACTGCCTCACTGTGCCACAATATTGTGAAATTTAAGTCCATATAACTCATCAAATGATCTGCTTTAAATGGTAAAACAATGACTGCATTGTGAGATAAACTGCTAAATTCTCAAGTTATTACAGTTCACAAACAAGTTTGTGAGATTTTTTCTGTCTTTACCACTTCCTGTTTTTGCTGCTATATTTATATAACACAGAAGTGTCATGAAAACTTAAGAGTGTGCAAGTAAATGGTTCCATTCTTACCCTAGTAAAACAATTTTATACTTAAGCACAATTTATTCATATGTACTTTTGTACATATGGCACACTATAAATTAGTATACTTAAAGTCTTATAAATTGGAACAATTAATTTTGTACTAAATACATTTTAGTTGTGCCAAAGCAGTGCTTAAGTAACTAAAGTTGTAATAAATATACTTGTTTGTGCTAAAGTGGAACTATTTTACGTATACTTAAGTACACTTTAAATATCCCTTCTTGTATATAAGTTTTGAAATGCAGAATTCACTCAGCATAAACTTCAAATGTATTTTGCTGACATTACAATTACACTTTAAGAGTGTTAAACGTGCATTAATATTATACTAATAACAAACTGAGGTCATGCTATCCTTTACTTTTAGTCACTTTAAAACGCACTGCAATGGCATTCAAAGTAAACTTGAAGTGTGCTAATAACATCATTATTGTGTGCTTTTAATGCAAATAATGAATCTTTATAAATTATGGCACAGCTTTACAATTCGTCTTTTACTAACATTCCCAGCATACCAGCAAACTCACTCACCCGGAGAACATCAGTGACACACTGGGGACAAACATTTGAACAATCAATGTAGGAATCACTTCGGACTGGATTCGAACTCGGGCCGCTGCGTCACAAGTGCACTCGCTTTATTATGGTGCTTTTCCACTGCATGGTACGGCACGGTACGGCTCACTTTTGGGGGGTTTTCCACTGGGTACAGTACCTGGTACCTGGTACTTTTTTTAGTACCACCTCGGTTGAGGTTCCAAGTGAACTGTACCGTTACCAAAATGTGACGTGTAAACACTGCTGATCACGGATTGGCCGGAGAGAATCGTCACTACCTGCGTCACTGAACTTGCGACTCAAACACAAAAGAACCACTAGATTTAAATCAGCACAGCCAGCGAAGGATCGAACGCAACTGTTTTGAACAAGCGCACCTTTTTTAACAACCAAAAAGTGGCCGTTTCGTTGTCTGTTGAGGAAGAACAGACGTTCCTCTCGTTGATAGCAGAGGAGCGGATTTAAATGTGACGCATGAATATACATTATTTTAATACATTTTACATTGTTACTTTTCATGCAGTTAACGTCTCTGAAGTTATTTGACATTTTATTTTTTGTGTAATTTTAAGGACTGGTCAGGATAATTTTTAATAATTTATTTAGTGATTCATAATATTTTGACAGGCCAAAGGGCTGCAGTCCACATTTCAAAGTAGCCTACAATGTTGCGTTAAAGAACCATTAATGGAGAAAAAAAGTGTGTTGGTACAGGTGCATTGGAGTGTATTAGCAATATACTGTACTAAAATAAACTCTCTGGTCAAGTATGTGAATGTCTTTCACCTTTTCAAACTAACTAGCTATATGTTGTTTACATCTTTACTTTTGTAACTACTTTCAACCATGCAAAATTGTGAAAAACACTAAATGTAAAGTGTGGTTAAATTATTAAAAAAGGTAAATGTCATAATTATAAAAAAGTACTGCATGATTATGAATTATTATTATTTGCAACTCAAAACATTTATTTATATCTATACTATTTTTGTACTCAAATAGAACTCAAATACAGCGTAATAATCATAACAGGTCAACAGAGGTTTCAATTAAAAATAAATTACTAAAGTATTACTTCAATATTTAACAAATTAAATTGTTTTATTTGCACATTTCTCATTGTTACATTTGCGCTGTAGGCAAAAGTTGCGTTTGGAAATTAAAAAAAGAAAGTCTCATTAAAAAAAAAAATTACGCAGCATCATCTAAAAATAATTTAATTATTCTCAGATTTGAAATACATGGTGAGACTTGTGTCTTTAGCTGGAATGAGTTTCTAGACTAAAGGTTTCTTCAGAAAAATGTGCCAAGTCTGCAACACAGATTCCCAATAGTGTGCACTCTAGTGAGTTCAGATGTTTAGCAAAAGTGGAGCAAAACTGATTGTTGGTGAATTTCACAGCTTGTGAAAGTTAGGTGAGGAGAAACAGACTTATCAAGCCCCCTTCACTGAACATACTGTAGTCTATATTTAGGCGATGTTAAAATCACATTATTACAATACTTATTAAGACACTTTGATGAGGCGAAGGAACAAACAAATATCAATACACAGAATGTGATATTGTCTTTTGTGCCATAGTCTTAGGTGAGAACTCATACAGCAGCCTTAATGATATGACAACATACAGTACAGACAATCCCCACAGACATACATTAAAATTGCCTTTATAAATCTACAGGATCATAGGATGAGTTGCTTCATTCATCCCTTTACAGAGACAAATTTTTGGGCTGAGTGAGCATGGACATGTCATTGGGGTTATGAACTGAGCATGCTTTCAAAGGTTTCATCCAGTTGGTTTATATGGGTGTGTGTATAGATCTTTATTTATTTATTTAAATGTTTTTTTGTGTGTGTGTGCTCAGAGAACACCATTATGAAAATCACTTTTTTTTTTAAACATGTTGTAGATGGAATTAAGAACCTAGTCAGTGTACTTTCTTAAGGATGAATATATATATATATATATATATATATATATATTTCATCCTTCCCCAAATGCATTTGTAAATTAATTTGTAGTGCACAAAGTTTGTGCTAGATGAAAGCACAAAATAACTACATTTAGAGTGTATTTTCAGTTAGCATAGACACGTCAATCTATTTTTAGCATACTTATCATGAAATAAATATATTTTAAATACAATTAAGTATATTTATTTTTCACTAGGGTACTCTGAAGTAAAGATCCATCTTTTATCTTTAAAACAGTTACTGTTTCTGCTGTCAAAGTCTGTTTTGAGAAATTACTGAAGTTTTCCAACAAGTAAAGGTCTGGAAACGAAGGGACTCGTTTATGTCACAATAATTGTTATATTGTGAAACTCAAGTGCTTATGATTTGTGAGAAGGGTACATTGAAACGTCTTCTAAGTCACCTGTAATTGATGCACAAATTCTGCAACTAGCACTTATCGTAGTCACTCGAATATGTGGTTAATTAAAATTAGACTGACAAATGAGTAATGAAAATGATAAATAAACCCTTCAAATGTTGCCAGCGTCAATTTAATTGGATTACTCTCAGCTAATGTGTTGTGAAGCCCCCCCACTAATTATATATTTTGACCCAGAGCAACACTATCTACTTTATCATTAACACATTAGTCTTCGGTTCCATCTGGGGACTGATTCTGGGATTTTTCAAGTCTCATTTTAATTTAATGAGAACATAATGGTGATTTGAATGTTGATATTTCTCCATAATGTTTTGAAATTTGCATGAATTATGGAAAATTTTGACAACTGAGACATTTTTAGTTTAGCAAATGAAGGGCGCAACTGTCTGTAAAAGTCAGTTAAAATTGAATTATTTTTGCAATAATGTTTATTTGATCAAATCTAGTCTCCTGTCAAGATTTACGTCGCTGACAATTTCCCTGGGGGTCACTGAGGTAACCAAAAATGCTTTCAACTTATCATGTTTTTCATTGTCTGTTTGTGGGTTATGACAATTTTATTGTATTTGTTTAGCGAAATGTGTTCGGATCTAAATAATTACATTGTAAAATAGGGTTTCTGTTCAGGCTGAGTAACATAGTATTTGGATAATGCCACATAATTTGAAGAACACTGGAAGAGACCACACCTCTGAGACAATGTGCTTAAGAAATACATTTAATAAATAGTTTTAACTTGCCCTAATTAAGGGCAGACCTGTATATTTAGTCATTGTAAAGCTTTGAAAAATATTATTTTAATCATATCTGACATCTATGATGCAATTAAATTCCATATATTTTCTTTTACACATACTGTTTTTAATTTGGTTTGGTTAGTGTAAACCGTTAGCAGGTTGTAGGTAGATAGAAAAATCAACATCATCTCATAATGTCAGGGGTGGACATAATTGAGAATCAAATGCG